CTGACCACCTTGGTGAGGCCCCAGGTGAACTCACCCTCCTCGTTCCAATTCCATGTTTCCATCACCCTCACAAGCCCTCAGGAGTCACCACTCCTCTCTCAGCTCTAAGACAGTAGTTAAGTTTGAGAGCCAGCATTAAATTATGGTTCGGAGGCTGCCTGGAGCACCCTTTGGTATGAAATGAGGCCCCAGCTGTCACCCCAGGAGTGGTCCCTGGAGAACAAACCTGTATGTATGTGCCTGACAGCCCTGCGAGGAACACGTCAGTGCTCGTGAGGAGGTTGTTGCTTTGCTGTGGTTCAGCACAGATTGCTTAGCTGTTCGAATCCTCTCTTAAGTGCCCTAGTGAGTGCCTTGGAAACATGATTTCACACAAGCCTAGGATAAGGTGAGAGATCCAGCTTTGAGGTTGCTCAAACTGGAGATTCCCAAACCCCTGAAAAATAACTTGGCATCCAGATTTAAATAATTTCTTACATGTGATTGATTGGAGCTTGTGGTGCTCCAAAGTGGCAGTGGCTGCTTGGCGTCATTCCGGCTGGTGAGTGCTCTTAGTGTCAAACCTGGGCAGCTGCACCAGTCCTGATGCTGTCCAAGAGGAGGGAAGGTGGTGCTGGTAGTCTGCAAGGTCTCCTCAGGACACTACCCTGAGACCAGCAGGTAAAAACTGATACCACAAAGTGCTTCAGGATCCATATGCACCCCTTTAATTAGAAGAAAAAAACCAGCAGTAAACGGGGAAAAGGAACATCTTTGCAAAGCCAGAGCACATGGATAATGTAACCGTGACACAGACACCCTCCCACGGGCTGCAGCTCCTACAAGAAAAGCAAGTAGCTGCTGAGCACAAGCACGTCCGTGCGGGAGGGAGATGTTTCAAGTGCTGACACAGATTTGGCTGACAAACGCGGTGCTGGCACACTGTCTCCTTTGAAATAACAAATGCTGCCGCAAAACGTGCTCTGGTGCTGTGTCTGTCCCCCATGTGCTGTGAGAGTGGCTCCCAGGGAGCTCGCCCCATGAAGTGGTGCTGTCCAAAAAAAAAAGGCCTTTATTTCTGAAGTTTATTCCCATTAAAATGACAATCCTACAATTCCAGGCGTCAGTGGGGCAGAGGTCTGTGGCAATGCTGGCTCAGACCCATTCAGAGCAAGGGGCTGGGCAATAGATTCCTAAATTAATCAGTCTGGGGTTTTTTCCCCCTCAGAAGTTCTTAAAGCCACATAAATAATGAGATTATTCCTTGTAATTCCAGGAACAGAGTCATTTTGTCCTGGCCTGCAACTTGCCGCCTGCCCTGACAGAAGTCTGCTTTCCTGCTCCAATCTCTACAGTCAAGGTGTAGCTTATCTTGGAAGGTGGAACTGTGCTGCAGGGAAGGGACTAGATTTTGGCAAGGCAAGGAGAACACCCAGGTAGGTGAGTGAATTGAATTAATTGCTTTGGCCACTGAGGCACTGGGCTGGTTTTATTTCCAGCAGTTATTCAGGAAGGAAAAGAAAGCAAACCATTCTAAATGTGTAGGAGGGTTGGGCCACTTTCCACCTCTCAGGTGCTCTTGTCCACAGTTACATGAGCCAGCTGGGACCCACATCCCATCTCTTGCTGCCTACAGCTGATGGTGTGATGCAGTGCTTTGGGAGGAGCACTGTGCTTCCCTCCCGGGGCTTGTCCAGCCCCCAAAGCAGGTGGAAGAAGGCTAAGGGAGCAGTGATGCAGCAGTGTCCCCTGGTTACCCTCTTCCCACAATCCCATCTGCAGATAAAACTGCATCCAAGGGTGGTTACACTGAGGTAGTGTCCCAGATGGGATCCCATGCACCACAGCATGCTACAGTCTGTCTGAACCAACCCAAAAAAGCTCTGCTAGAGTGAAGAAAAAGGAGTGGAGGCTATAATATGCTGGGGCTTGCTTAGAAACACCAGGAAGCACTGATGGAAGGGCTCTGCTTGGCCTGGGGGCCATAAATTCCCTGCTCTGGCATAGGTGGCTGGCAGCTCCTACTGCCGTTTGGGGGCATCTTTGTGGCTCTAGCCTACTCCTCTCCCAGGACCATAAGGGCCACTAAGGTGATTAAGGGATTGGAGCAGCTGTCATGAGATTTGGGACTGTTTAGCTTGGAAAAATGAAGGCTTGGGAAGGAGAGTGCTTGTCCATGTCTTGGTGGGGGTAAAGAATCACAGAATAGTAAGGTTGGAAGGGATCACGGTGGGTCATGTGGTCCAACCTCCCTGCTCAAGCAGGGTCATCCTAGAACACATCGCACAGTATTGTGTCCAGATGGTTCTTGAGGATCTCCAGTGAGGGAAACTCCACACCCTCTCTGCACAATCTGTTCCAGTTCATGGTCACTTGCACAGTAAAGAAGTTCTTCCTCATATTCAGGTGGAACTTCCTGGATATCAGTTTCTGCCCATTTTCTCTGGTCCTATTGCTTGGCACCACCGAGCAGAGCCTGGCTCCATCCTCTTGGCAAACTCTGTTTAGATACTGATAGACATTGATAAGGTCCTCCCTCAGTCACCTCTTCTCAAAGCTGAACAGACCCAGCTCCCTCAGCCTTTCCTCATAAGAGAGATGCTCCAGTCCCCTCATCATCTTTGTCACCCTCCGCTGCACCCGCTCCAGGAGCTCCATGTCTCTCTTGTCCTGAGGAACCCAAAACTAGACACAGCACTCCAGACGTGCCTCACTAGGGCTGTGTAGAGTGGCAGGATCACCTCCCTCGACCTGCTGGCAATGCTTCTCCTGATTCACCCCAGGACACAAGGGCACACTGCTGGCTCAGGGACGACTTGTTGCCCATCAGAGCTGCTTTCCAGCAGGTTGACCCCTAGCCTGTACTGCTGCATGGGGTTATTCCTCCCCAGGTGCACCATCATGGTGGATGTTCAGGGATTTAAAACATTTGAACCAGCAGAAGGTGATGGACAGGGAAGGCAAATGAGTCAAGTTTTAAAAAAATCACCCATGAAACCACAGACACTTCACAGGGAGAGGGGGAGCCGTTCCAGGGGCCTCCAGCCCCATGGTGACACCATGCAGGAGGACAGGAGCAAGGGGCGCAGCAGCCCCACTCCATGGTGCAGGCACAAATACCCAGGGTTCCCCTCTTTCCACCCAATTCGTTGGAAGGTGGCACAAGACCCAGTGCTCCACCGTGCACTTTGTAGGCAAATGCCACTTCCTCCTTGGTGGGCAGGAAAGCTCCATGTCACCAGCCATACGCTGCCAAGGCCACTGAACTCAGGAAAAATAATCAAAGCAGTGAGAAGTGTTTGTGTTGCAAGTGCCAGGGAGGTGGCCCCCACCATGCTGCCCCCATCACAGCTGCCAAGAGGTCAAAGTTCCTTCCTGGAAGAGCCTGAGGAAGCAGCACTTCCTTCCCAGCAAGCTTCCAACAATCCTGCAGCTTATCAGTGCTGGGCGAGCTGCACAGGAAGGGCACAAAACCCTCCAGCCCAAGAGGAAGGTGGCAAGGGACTAGCAGTGAGAGGGACGCAGGGAGCAGCCCCCTATCCCAGCCCAGTACCACACAGCGAGGTGGGGACAGCAGATATCCTGGGACGAGGCACAGCCAGTGAGGCAGAGCAGCTCGTGGGGAGGTTTAGCATTCCCTGTCACACCCATCCGGTGGGGGGATGTCTGGGGACACGGCCATGGCCACCACAGCCGCTGCAATCTGCTCCCAGTGCTAGACATGGGCCCTTAGTGGTCAAAACTGGAAGTCAGGACCTAGATAACCATTCCCAGGGAGCAGCAGCTGGAGATGGGGCATGTGTAGATTTACATGCACACACACACACAGGGCTGTCGCTGTTCCCGTGGCAGCTCTGGTTTTGATGGCTCCCATCCTGTGTGGCCACCTTGTACCACTGTCAGTGATGCATTCCATGCCCAGCAGCTGAATTTTGACAACATGTGGCTGAGGTGAAGGGCAGGGCTGCACCTGGGTGATGTCAGAAATCACAATTATTCCCACAATACCCCTGCCACCCTCCAGCCAGCTACGCTGACAGGCAGCTTGCACCGCCCCAGGGCAGTGGGGCCAAAGAAACACCCTCACAGCAACACCGACACTCATTAAAGGTTTGTTTTTATTTCTGGTTTAAAATCAAAATTAGTCATTCTCTGTAATTACATTATATATAGATTTATAGAGACATTATAGAAAAGAATTTTTTGCTTTTGTTTTTCTGCAAAAATCTGTAAATAAAAAATAAAATAAAATAAAACAAACAAACAAAAAAAAAGATGGCAGCTTCTGTCCATCCGTCTGTCCCTCTATTGCTCCTCCTGCCCCTGCCCTCCACGGCACTTCCCAACAGATCAGGAAAGGCTCTGGGCTGGGGCCACATCTCACTACACTCCCTACAGCCACAGCCGCGGAGGGACAGGAGCACGTGGAGCTGGAAAGAAGAAACGCCAGCAGAATATATTAATATCTCATATTTCATTTTATTTAAGTCCTGGGCACTCCAGGTGGCAGAGGGCAGCAGTCCCCACGGCCCAGGCAACTCCTGGAAAGAAACGGTGAGGTTTCCAAAGTGCAGGTCCTTCCGGGACAGGGCGCACGCCCTCGAGCAAGAGGAAGGCAAGAGGAGGCAGAGAAATCCGGTACATCTCCCTGCC